TGTGTGTATATACATACATATGTATACATGCATATGTATATATGTGTGTATATATGCATATGTATATATGTATGTGTGTATATATGCATGTGTGAATATATGCATATGTAGATATGTGTATATGTGTGTGTGTGTATATATATATATAGTGTTGTTGCGAATCATAGTGACCCTATGAACGAAAGTCCTCAACTCTTGCCTGACTTTCATCCTTTCTCCAGGTTCAATAGGGTTTCCGGAGGCAAGCTTTTACGGAAGTGGATGCCACTCCCACTTCCAAGCTTGTTTTAATTGGGGAGTTCCACTAAACACTGTCTACCATGGGTAACCATTATCACATTTGACACATCAGTGTCAGTGTTCAGCTTCACAGTGACCACAAGTTGTATAACTTTATTTTGTTGTTGTTGTTATGTGCCGTCAAGTCGTTTACTATGATTTTAATGAAAGTTTACAGAAAAGTAGGATTTTTATCCATTCATTATTGTACATTTTTTTCCCTTCCTCCCTAGTTAACATTTTTTTTTTAAATTAAGGTTTGTTTTTATTGGTTTGCTTACAAAGTTTGTCTACATTGTGTTTCACACTATTCTTCTTTCACTTTGTGCTTCATACAACCATGCTCATGCATTATGTTTATAAAATGGATCATCATTGGATCTTGCCCATATTACCCTGTTTTTTGCCCCGCCCCTTCCTGTTTATATCCCCCTGCTTCCTTCAACCACTAAACTGTGTAGCCCTGTGGTTTCACCTCTAACCCATCATCACCCCTTTACTCACCCTCCTTGAGTTCCCATATATGTTTTACTAGTTATCCTTCTGTTTTTACAATAATGGTCTTATGCAGTATTTGTCCTTATGAGACTGTTATTTCACTCAGTATAATGCTTTCCAGCTTCTCCCAAGTTATGTAGTATTTCTTGAAATAATTGCTCCTGAGTGCTGCATAGTATTCCATTGTGTGAATATACCACAATTTCTCAATCCATTCGTTAGTGGTTGGGCATTTGGGCTGTTTCCATGTTCTTGTGATGGTGAATAACACTGCTATGAACATTGGTGTACAAATCTCCATTTGTGTCTCAGTTTTTATTTCCTTGGGGTATAATTCCTAGTCGTGGAATAACTGGGTCATATGGAGCTTCTATATTCAACTTTTTGAGGAAATGCCAAACTGTCTTCCATAGAGGTTGCACCATTTTACAATCCCACCAACAGTGTATGAGAGTTCTTACCTCTTTACATTCTCTCCAACATTTATTGTTTGCTGGCCTACTAAACTTGTGACTGCTACTGGGGTGAGATGGTATCTCATTGTGATTTTGGTTTGCATCTCTCTTATTGCCAGTGATTTTGAGCATATCTTCATGTGTCTGTTGACCACATGAATGTCTTCCTCTGAAAAGTGTTTTTTAATTTTTAAAAAATATTCATTCCAGGGAGCTCTGGTGGCCTACTGGCAAGAAGCTGCACTGCAATCCCAGAGGTGCATGGTTTGAATCCACCAGATGCTCTGCTGGAGAAGAAGGGGCAGTCTCCTCCTGTACCTGTCAGATCTGATTTGACGGTACACACATACAAAAAATAATAAAATTTAAAAAAATATTCATTCTTTGTTGCACATTTTCCTCTCTCCCCCTCCCTTCCCTCTCCTTCAGTTTACTTTCTTTTTAAAATTTTTTAATGTTCATTCATTGTTGCAAATTTTCCTCCCTCTCCCTCTCATAGTCCACTTTGCAATGCACCTCTTATTCCAGACTGTTGTCATACATATACATATATATATCATGCCTAATCATATATTCCTTTTTAACAGTTGTTTCCCTCATCTGTTCCAATGTAGTGCTCATTATCTATACACTCTTTTCCTATCCTCTCCCCAGGCCCCCATGTCAGTCCTATTTTTTATAACAGTGGAATGACCCTAAAGGGCATTATGCTGAGTGAAATATCTCAGTCACAGAAGGATAAATACTGCATAAAGACACTTTGGATGAAAGACCTGGCAATCTGTTTCTGAAACATCACAACCTTGAAAACTCTGTGAGCACAGTTTTCTTTGGCATACAGGGAGCTGCTGAGTTGAAAACAATGTGATGGCAATTGGCTTTTAAAAAAAAATATCATTCCAGTGACACACTCTATTTCCACACTCATCCTTTCATCCAAAATAATAAAAATGTGAAGCCATAGAGAACTACTGTGCATATAATAAAGCAGTGTTAGTGCCAAGAGGAGTGTCTTGATGCTTGCATAGATGTGTCTGCGTTGTGCAGATTTGGTGTCTAAATACAGAGGGGCTTAGAGACAGAAGTTACTGGCTGATAAACTTGGAGGGCTCTCCAAGTTTTTCAAGAACAACAACAAAAACAAAAACACCCTATAGCATTTTAGAAGATATTTGAACAATAGATCTCTAAGCTCTCAAAAAAACGGTGGCATTTTTAAAGGTATTTGAATAGGAAATCCAAGTTACTGGGAGTTGAGAGGAGGCTCCATAGGTGGTGGGTCTGGGAAGATGCTCATGGGAAAGGAATTCAGTGAAGCGATGCTTTCAGCACCACTGTTGGGCTGAGTGGCCTCTAGGGAGGAGGGCTGATGGGAAATTCATGGCTAAGGTGGTTAAACATTTAAAAAATTACATTGAGAAAGAAATTAGGTATTAACTCACTACATCTCCTCTGAGAGATTAATATTTTCCATTGTAAGTCTCTGAGCCTGTCTGGTTAGGTTCACATGGAGCACCAAGTGATCTCCCACTGTCAGGCTCTTAAGAGGAATGAGAGGTGATGGATCAATAAGAGAGCTTAGAAATAATAGGCCCAATGCCATCCTTCTTTTTTAGCAATTATGGATTATGGACGTATCACTACTTTAAACTGTATAGCATCCTCTTGGTTGATTTGGTTAATGTTCTTATTTTTAGACAGGAAAGAAAAGAAAAAGAGAAATATTCAAACAATAAGAGAAGGGTTATGCATTGTTTTAAAAGAGAAGAGGAGGAACAATTAGCTCCCAGCTGGTGAAACTTCGCTTGCAAGACCACCCACATCATTTGCAGGGCCCTGTGCATTGAACGTGTCGGCACTTTGCTAAAAAGTGAAGAATTTAAAAATGGTGACTGAGGAGTATAAACCAAAGGCAAATTTATCTAAGGTTGAGGCCCTTTGTTAGTGTATGCATCACATGTCCATGAAGTTGGGCACGGAGCCTCATGTGGCAGCCAAGGGGGCAGGCAGGCTAGGGCCTGACCTCTGAGGTGTAGAAGAGGCAGGGAGGGCATGGTGGGCTGTGTTCTCTGAAGCACATCCACCGGGAGGAGCCCCAGCCCAGCCTGTTCTGTTCCTGTGCTCCTCTTCCAGGGCTCAGAGAGAACAGATTGAGAAGGAGCGAGTGGAGGAGGAGAAAAAGGCCACAGGGCGCCTGCAGCATGCCAGCGAGCTCCGGCGCCAGGTGCGCGAGAACCAGCAGAAGCAGGTGCAGGACAGGATTGCTATCTTCGAGGAGGGCCGGCGCCTCAAAGAGGAGGCCGAGAAGCGACGTGAGCGCATCAATGACATCAAGAAGAAAAAGCTTGAAGAGCTGAGGTGTGCAGGAACCCCTCCTTCCAAGCTCCTCTCCTAAAGAGGGCTCAGTAGGCTGGAGAGAGCAGGGACAATGATACAAATGCCCTTCCCTTGTTTTGAGGCTCGCATGGGCCACTCTCCATTGAGGGGCCTTTGCTGGAAGTCTGGGTGCCTCCTGATCTTCCTGGCTCCCAGGAACTCTTTGGTGGGATGCGGTAGGCTTGATAGAATGTGTTTAGGGTGGAGATGGACTGTGGGGATAGGTAAATAGCCCCCTGCTATATCCTTTTTGGTCTGACATTGCCCCTCATACCTGCCTGTGTTCCCCCCACAGAGCCACCGGCCTTCCGGAGAAGTATTGCATTGAAGCTGAGAGAAAAGCTAACATCCTGTCAGCTACCTCTGTGAGCTGAGGGGGGCCTCTGCTTTGAGAAGCAATGCCTTTGGTGACAGACTCTGCCCAGTCTCCTGGTGTCTATATGTGCTGCTAACTTAGATGTCTCATAGTTACAGATTAAATCTATTTTTTCCTAAGGAATTGCTCAACTTTCTTGTGGGGACGGCGTTACTGAATGTAGTACTGAATGTGGGGGAGACTAAACTGGGGAAGACCACAGTAGCAGACACTGTGATGCCCAGGTGAAGAGAATGATGTTTGCCTTGTTTGTGCAAGATCTTTCTCATGATCTTATGTCATAAGCCAGGGGGACTTTTGCTCTTTTTTCCTCTTCCCTTTTCTGTGATCCCTTAGGATGCTGTCACCAAGTCCATTTCAGCACAGTCTAGTCTCTGCCCAGTTGCGAGGCATGCTAGGGCACTGAGGCTAGGAGCTAAAGATGCCCTCTCGGGGAGGGGCTGGGGTCAGGGCTGGGCAGGGTGGAGCTGGAAAAGGAGGTTCCAGGGCTGGGCTTGAGGCCGAGCTCTTAGCCTGCTCACGCCCATGACTCAGACCACATCTGTAGAGGGGTGATGTTTGAACCTGGGCTGGCTTCTCCTGTCTCTGTCCTCTCTCGTCAGAGCCCTTTCAACTTGAGGTAGTGCCTCAGCACAGACACCTGTTCGTTCCTCACAGGGACATGCCCAGTGCTCTGCACCCTGCCAGCTCAAGCCTGTCACCCAAGTAGCTAGGTTCACCTCAGACCACCTCACTTCCAAAAGCCACTATTGTCTCTAAGTTATCCTCTATTTGTACAAGAATACTCCATTAATTCACTTCTTCAAATTCTTACTGACATCCTATCATGTGCCAGGTACAGTTCTGGACACTTAGTATAACAGACCTGGTTCTGCTCTCATTTACATTTGAACAGGATGCTTGTGCTGCCTCTCCCTAGTTGTATCTTGTGCCTTCAGGATAGTGCCAGCCGTCTGGGAAAAGCCCTGATTATCACAATCCCATTTCAAGTTTACATGCCAGCTTTCCAGGGATAAATCCCCTTCTTTCTCTGGGTGCTTGGGTGGGGAGAAGGAGCTTTGTCAGCTGTCATCACCAGGCGTCATATTCCCCTCCCCTCTTGGTGCTCCACTTTTCAAGTCTAGAGCCCAGACTGTCCCCCTTGATGGGTCCCGCAGAAGCACAGGACAGCTGCTAGGAGCGTCCCGGGTGTTTACAACGCTAAGTTACAAGGGCCTCGGGCAAGAGTCCTCTTTTCATAGGGTCTAGGGAGAGTCAGCAAGCTGCTTCCTGTGCTTCCTCTTCCTTAGGACAGCACAGCTTCCCCAGGCACCTTGTCCACCTTCCCCGCCAGTGAGGACTGCTGCCCTGTCCAGACAAGTGGCAGCTCATAAGCTTCTCACCTCCCCTGCTCAGCCCCTCTCACAACAAGCCTCCTCTCCAGAGGAGCCAACAGCCTCCTCCCTAGAGGTCTTGGTACATGGAAGACCTGTACCCCACTCAGGATGGGAGGGGACTCTGGTGCCCTCTGCAGTTGATACACCAGTATACCTATTTCTCAGGGAGCTCTGGTGGCATAGTCCACAGGGAGTTGGGAAGCTAACCCCAAGGCTGGTGCCTCTCTGTCAGGTCAAAACCACCAGCAGCTCTGCTAGAGGGACATGGATAATCATCTATGCAATTTACAGCTTCAGAAACCCAGTTAAGGGTCAGCTTTGAGTCAGTTCTGATTTGACAGCAATGAAATCTGCAGGGGCCAAGGCATGAAGTCCTTACCTACTTTAGGAGATGATCTTGCTAGCAAAGTCGGAAACAGCCTTGGGTGGAGATGATGGGAAGGATGGCACTGGGAGTTTGTTCAGCTCCACACTAAGTGTCCCTTTCAGGCCTGGAAGGAGCAGGAGCAGGCCAAAGAGAAAGGATTCCGTGCTCACTAGTGACTTCTAAGCCCGTGCAGAGAAAAATGGTCCAAATCTGGCTGCTGCTAAATGTAGGGTTTATAACGCCAGGCAGATCCTAAGTCCTAAAAGTGAGATCATACTGACAGGGCCTGGACGTGGGCAGTGATGGGTCACATAAATGAAGGTCTGGCTGCAGAGCAGAAACTAGCGAGTTAGCTCTGAGTAGGTGAAGACAGTTTGGGAGAGAATCCGAGCTCTGCCTGGGCTGTGCCTGGGCTCTACTTAGGCTCTCTCTGGGCTGCTTGGTCCTCTCTCCCTCCCGCCACCGTCACGTTCTTCAACGTCTCCTTCTCAGGAGTGGACCACGATGCTGTCTGCACCCCACTTATCACTGATGCTCCCAGGTGGGTGCAGTGGGTGTGAATACAGCAAGTGACACTCAGAGGAGGTGACACCAAAATGACTCTAAAATGTTTAAGCAGTATTACAGCAGAAGTGATTTTTTTAAATAAAAATATCCCTGTAGGTAGGTCTAAGAAAAACATTTCTTTTTCCTAAGCCCACTTTTTATGTATCAATATACATTTAAGGCTGAAACTCGATGTTAATTTAGGTTTTTGGCCTTCTATTATGTTCCTATCAGAGCTGTCCTTATTACCGAATGACAGTGATGCTTCATATGGTTTCATCTGAATGTGCTACACACAGATATTGTCAATTTTTCTGGTGTCTTAGCTACAGTATTGTGAAAATTGGTATTTGTGAACCTATATCAATATTGGTTTTGAGAATGAAGTAGTAATAAGAGGAAAATGAGAAAACACAAAAAAGGCTTCTGCTCAGTTCAATGTAGAAATGTAATTCAGTGCAGGAAGATTTTCGAAAACAATTTTGATGCTGTTATGTACTATTGAAATGACACAAATTGCACAGGGAGAGACTGCCCATCTTTCACCCGCAGAGCAGCTGGTGGATTAGAACCATGAGCTTTTGGACTGGCAACACAGCTTCTTACCACAAGGCCACCAGAGTTATCTATTTTGTGTTTAGTATTTATGTGATCTAAGAAGTATTAAGCGGTAACTTGTGGTTGCTGTGAAGCTGAACACTGTGACACTGATGTGTCAAATGCATCAATGGTTACCCATGATGGACAATGTTTGGTGGAGCTCCCTGATTAAAACAAGCTTGGAAGCAGGAGTGGCATCCACTTCCATAATAGCTTGCCTCTGGAAACCCTATGAACTTGGAGAGAGGATGAAAGTTACAGAAGTGTTGAAGACTTTCATTCATAGGGTCGCTATGAGTCACCTACCACTCAAAGACACAACAACAACAACAACAAGTATTACATATAAGCAATCTACAACTATACTACATTCTATGATAGGACCTAAAAAAAAAAACACACCAGAAAACCAAAAAGCCTCAACACCCAAACAAGGAAACAAACCAAAACCAAAAAACCAGCTCAAGAGCCTGACCCAAGCAATGGTCTTTTCAATGCCTTCACATATGTGTGAAAGTTGGAGAGTGAATAAGGAGGACTGAAGAAGCATTGATGCCTTTGAATCACATTGTTGGGCTGCCAAAAGGACAAATAAATCTCTTGGGAGGAAGTGTAACTGGAGTGCTCCTTAGAGACAAGGATGGTGAAACTTACTTCACATCCTTTGGGTATGTAGTCAGAAAGTGCCAGTCCTGGGAAGAAGACATCATGCTAGGGAAAGGAGAGAATCAACCTAAGAGAGCTGGATTGACACAGAAACTGCAGTAATGGACTTGAACAGGGAGGAGACTGTGAGGATAATACGGGACAGGGTAAGGTTTCCATCTGTTGTTCACAGGTTCACTATGTGGTAGTCAACTCGATGGCACCTAATGACAACATGATGAAACTGATAAGCATCAGTAAGGATTTCATGTGGTCTGGTGCAGGAGTGTCATAGAGGGGGTGACACCATGGTTTTACTGCACTGGATGACACTAACCCTATAGTAATACTACTTCCACTCATGGAAGAAAGATATGGGGATATTGACATCTTTCAGGATTCCTAAGAAGCCTAGAGCAGGCTCTCATTGGCTCCAGGGCTGGTCTGACTCATCATAGGAATCTAGTTCCTAGAAGTGGGACATTCTGAGAGCTAGGCAGGAAGTGGCTACATGGGTATCTTTTATCCTTCACCTTTCTCTCAGAAGTGGGGAAATTTATAGGAGAAAGGCCCTGGCCTTAAGTGAAGGCTGGTGTGGTCAGATGGTGGGATATGGGAGCCAGCAGGAGGACGTGAGCACAGCTTGCAGAGAAAGGGTGGGGCCTGGAGACAAAGATGAAGAGAAAGAAGTACACTTGTGTGGACCCTAGTGTTTAAGAATGACCAACCTGTTTTGCTGCTAGAGGTTGGAGCTTTGGGTGGGCAGCAAAGTTTGGTAGGAATGGTTTCAGCTTCCTGTCCCCCTCCTCAGTTCACAGGTGAAATGAACTCTGTGCCCTGACTCTCAAGCCACTGAACCAGCTAGAAGTGGCTGGGAGGCTGCAATGGAGTGCAGTCAGTCAGAAGGAAAAGCTAGAGAGAAGTATTGCTTGGTATAGTGTTTCCCCCCCTCCCCCAATATATTTAAATTTTGAGTTTTTTCAAACGCAGACTTTCCCTTCACACTTTCCTTCATTGACATGTTTCATACAATCATTCTCATACGTTGTGTTTTTATAAAATTAATCACCATTGGATTATGCCCACCATTACCTCAGCTTTTCAGGTCCCTGCTGGATCTCTCTCATTTTCTTTTCACCCTCCCTCTACCAAATTGTGCGACCTTGTGATTCCCCCTCTATATATCCTTACCCCTTTGTTCCTACTAATTTTCCCCTTAGACTTCAGTACACATTTTACTAGTTATCCTTCTATTTTTACAATAATGTTCTTATGCAGTGTTTATCCTTATGAGACTGATTTAGTTCACTCAATAGAATACTCTCCAGTCTCCCCCAAGTTATGTATTATTTTTCAAAATAGTTGCTTTTGAGTGTTGTATAGTATTCCATCGTGTGAATGTACCATAGTTTCTCAATCCATTTGGTTGTGGTTGTACATTTAGGTTATTTACATGTCTTTGCAATGATGAATAATACTGCTGTGAACATTGGTATTCAAATCTCCATTTGTGTCTCAGTTCTAATTTCCTTGGGGTATATTCCTAGCAGTGGAATAGCTGGGTCATATGGAGTTTC